GAACCGCTCCAGCTGCGCCCTCTGTTCCTGCCCCGTGGCCCGGTTGTTGAAGGCACAGAACCTCCTCCCACACTCCTGGACCAGGCCCCTCAGGCTGCGGTTGTCTGTGTTGGCCACATAATCACCCAGGGACTCGTCCTCTAGGTCCTCCTTGTGGGTGAAGAGGATGACCATGTGTCTCATGGCCCCCACTCCAAAGACCTCTTTCACCCTCCTCACTGCCTCCGTGTCCTGGGCCGTGAAGCGACCCAGCTGAGTCACCAGGACCAGCACATGGGGCCCTGGGGTGCAGAGCAGGTAGCAGTCCCCGATGTCTTTGTACACGTCTTCAGTCTGGGCCCTGGACTCAAAGATGGGGGGTGTATCAACCACCAGGAGTTCCCTCCCATTCCATGTGCCGGCCTCTGCCTGGCACGTTCTGGTCACTGCCTGGGCCCGCAGCTTGGACTCGAACACTGGTCGTTGGAGGATGCTGTTTCCAGTGGCGCTTTTCCCACAGCCTGTTTTGCCCACCAGGAGGATCCTCAACAGCGATGATCCTGGAGTTGAGCTTTCTTCTCCTCTGCCTGTTAGAACACACGAAAAGTTCCTGCATAACTGCTTTCCAAAGAGGAGCACAATAAATGGAAAAGAAACTGACCAAAGGAAAGAACTCCATGGGCCAGGTAAGGTGTTGGACTCTGCTCTCCCATCACCACGTGTCCACATGGACAGAATAAAGGAAACTCGCCCAGGCTTTGTGGAGTAAACTACCTCAGCTGGCCAGAGGCTGAAAGATCCATCTTTGGGCACTACTGAATTTTGCTGTCCTTCCCAGAATCTTCTGTCTATTCAGTCCCAACCCTAACTTTCTCAAGCCCACATGCAGCTACAGAATTCTTGGAGCTTCTTACAGCCACTGAGCTGTTTGCCCCACTTCCTGTACCCATCCCATCCCTGCCTGGCCTCCAGTTTACAAGGTGCAGCATTTCATCTGCAAAAACTTGAAGAGTGTGACAGCTATTAGCTTAATATGCTTTATTCTTGGGGAGAATGCATTTCTTTTCCTTGCAGTGAACCTTGGTCTCCAGTCTCTCATTGCCCGGTGAGACATTTGTCCCAGCCTTAGTCCATGCAGCATCCTTACCTGGGGTCAAGACACTTTGTCCAGCCTTCAGAAGCCCTCCCATTTTGCTCTAGAATGGAAAATATACAAGATTGTTCACACTGAAGTTGAAAGGGATACCTAACACAAAACACTCTACTTCATAGATGCAAGAGGCAAGAAAAAACACTATCAAGGCCTCACGTTATTTGACAAATGAGTTGAAATTAAGACCCAGGTCTACTGACTGTCAGGCGTTCTCAGCCTAGACTCGGCCTCCTGCTGCAGAATGGACAACTCCATGTTACCCTCAACATATCCTCTGCTATCAGGAGACAGGGGAAATGCATCATCTGCTCAGAAGGCCAGGCAGTCCTTTCCTAGTGAGTATCTCACTATCTGGGGCTCTTGTTCACCATGAGAGTTTCAGTGCCCAGATTAAAATCTGCCTGGCAAAGTAGCCCCTCAGTAAATTCACTCCTCCTTAGGTTTTCATTGGGTGGGTCAGACAGAGGATGACCAGTCATCCTGGTCTGCACAGGACTGAGAGGATTCCCTGATGAAAGAGCTGTGAATGCAGAAGCTGGGAAAGCCCCAAGCCAACCAGGCCAAGGTGCTCCCACAGGAGTAGGAGATTGTCACGGCCCTGGTTGGTCCAGGGAGGGGGCACACACATCTAGTAATCGGAGGGAAGAACACATCTAGTAATCGGAGGGGCTTAGTGTGTCATGCCACAGAAGGTGGCACTTCCCTGTTCTTAGTTCAAACCGTCTTGGCCCTGGAACTACCTTGGGGCATAACTCTTCATGCCCACTCACCTTCATTCAGAGTTCCCCACGTGCCTTTCTCCCAATCCTTTCTTCTCTCCTACCTCCTATTTCCTGTGCTCAGTGGTGAGTCCATACAGGTCTTACAGAAGAATGACTTCTCAGCCTTCCTGCTGGGGAAGACCTATGCCTTGGGTGGAGCCTTGTCCCAGGTCCAAGAGGTTAACACTGAAGAATGAGTCTCTCTTTGAGGAATCTCATGAACTATGACAGGTCAATTCCAAAAATGCTTTTTGGAATGAAAGTATTTTTTTGATACTTCTTGGGATTCATGCTATTTAAGATACTATCTCAACCCTCTACATATGAAATTGGCTCATGGTTACCCTGGCAGGAAGAATAAGTTAATAGATAAATACATTTGGAAGGACTAAATGTCCAAAACCAAGCTGCTAACAGACATTTCCCCAGGATCTCTTCACAACTCACTCTGAGAAAAGAGGGAACTGTAACAATTTTCTGCCTCTCAGAATCTCTCTGCTCTTAGTTGGCCCCACAGAAACAAGTGTAATCTGGTTTGCAAAGCCTGCCCCTCAATACGCACAGTTCAGTAAGGGGCGTCTGGCTGATGATACAATGCAGGTCCTAGCAAAAGCTCTTCTGCCCTAGCAAAAGCTGGCCTTTGAATGGGCAGCAGTGCCCGACCATTTCCTGCCGTCCAATAACCCACAGGAGGGCCCTGCAGGCCAGTCTGAGGCTCAGGCTTGTGTGCGAGCATGACGGGGTCACATCACCCAGGGATGGACCACACACTGTCCTAGGTGTTGCTGAGGATCTCTGAAGGTGGGGTTAACATGAGCAAGGGTCACCTCTCTGCTGTGGAGGGTGACCATCCAGTCATTCAGAGGCCTGAAAAGCAAAAGCTGAGATTCCCTGAGAGAAGTTCTGCCTTGAGACAGCATAGACTCGACCCTGAGTGTCCCTCATGTCAACCTCCAGCCCCAATCATGAGCCAGCTCCTCAAAATGAACCTCTCAAGGCAGCCATCTTGGTGTTTCAGTTTCTCTGGAGAAACCTGACTGATGAGCAAAGCTAAATCTCTCTGCTAAAACTCAGAGAGCTGACCTGATCATTCATGCCTGTTAACTGTGAAGAAACTAAGGCTTTGGGGTTAACCCAGCAGTGACAACACCGAGTCTGCACTGAGACCACTGAAGGAAAGGACAACGGAGAGTGATGGCAAGTCCTTCCCTGGCAGGGCCCGAACGTGCTGCCTGTCCCTGTGTGGGCCCACTCGTAGTCCCTGGAGACGTGTCCAGCAGAGCTACTCACATGCTGTGTTTGACCAAGCGACTGGTAACAGGCCATTTCCTCCAGGAACCTCAAACTGCTGCTCTTTTGGAATCCATCCTGAGAAGAAAGAGAAGTGAAAGCAGGGGCTCCTTCTCAAAAAGCATCGAAGTTTTCCTCATTTTGCTTAGGTTTCTTTTTTTTTCTTTTTTTCATTTTTCCCCCTTCTAGTCACAGTGCTGACTCTCCAGCCCAAACTGCCACACCTCCAGCAAAAGGACCCTTGTGACTCCCCAGCTGCGTCCCCTCCCCTTTCCCACGCACCCATCAACCTCCAGCTGTCACCATCATCTGTCCCTCCCACTGGCCATTAACCCACTTCATTTAATTTGTTTTATTTAAAATGTATTTTCTTTTTCATGAGTGAGAGAGACAGAGAGAAAAAAAAACAGCAACCCAGCAGGTCTTGATGTCAGGCTCCATCCCTAGCCTCAGCCAGCCCCGGATCACAGGTTCTCACATGCCCCAGCCAGGGAGGTCTCCAGGAGTGAGCCTGAGGCCTTCATTCCTGTGGGACAGCCTTGTACTGCTGTGTCACCATGGGGTCCCATCGCTTATTTTATATCCACTGATCCTTCTATTGCTCTATTAGAAAGTGTTATTTCAGACATTTTATTACAGACATTTCTCACCTAGGAGGAGGAGTGGGCAAGGTTAAAGAACAGCTCCCGCCCCAGACTGGGAGGCCACGATTGCTGAGCTAATGAGACTTGAAGAGGATCTCCTGTGCCTCTCTTAGGAGGCCCTCTTCACTGCCACACTTCCAGCCTACGTAACTGCAAGAGACACGGCGGGATGGGAAGGGCAGAGGCCACCCTTGGAAAATCATGAAGTGATCTGAAATTGGTTGGTTGCCCTTGGGGTAGATTTGCACCTTCTCACTTGCCTGAAGTAATAACTTTCCCCTGCTTCCCTCACTGGAGCTTCCTGAAGATAGAGGCATGCTGGCTAGGAAAACAGTGGAGTTGTGAGAATCGGCTACATTACAGTTATGAGTCAGGGTAACTTTCCAGGAATTATGCCCTTGCTGTTTACAACTTCATTCTGACTAATTAGGATGGTTTAACTATTCTTTTTCTTTTTCTTTATTGTATTTCTTTATCAGAAAAAAAAAAAAGCAGACATGCTACCTGAGCTAATCAATTCAAGCTCTACCCCTAAAGTCTTTCTCCAATCTTTAAAATTAAAAATATTTCCATGAAGTTCACTGATTTTCTTCTAGAGTTTTTTGCCATAGGGTGTGTGTGGTTGCTGAAGAGATTCAGAGAGACTGTGTGTGTCGGGGGACGGGGGTAGTAGCCATGCCACAATCCCTTCTTCTCCCTTCTCCTTGGATTTTTGGGCATGCATGATCACATGCCCAGCGTGATTTTCAAACTGCCAGGCCTGAGACTCAAACCAGAATTGCCATGTAGGAAACTAGAGCCTTAACCTCCATGCTACCTGCTGGTCTCCACCACTGTTTATAAAAATGACAAAATGGGGGGCCGGCAGGTGGCTTCGAGTCCAGGACCTGAAAGCTTGCTTTCTCATTTTCCCTCTCTCTCTCTCATTCTGTCCCTCTCCAGTCAAATTTAAACAAATAAATAAAATAAAGTTCAATAAAATAATTTTTTCCAAAAAATGACAAAATAGAGCATGGATACCGAACTTGAGCTGTGAAACATTGCTTCCCTTGACTAAAAATGAAGATTATCTGCTGAGATTTCTCCCTCCAGACTCATTTCTAGTGGACAGGGCTATCTTGTTCTCCTCTCCATTTCTCTCTGTCTCTGTCTGTCTCTCTGTGTCTCCCTGTGTCTTTTCATTTTTTTAAGATAAAGTATTCTATCGGTTCTCAGTCCCCTCCTTTATTGTGCTAACTGGTGCCTTTCCCCATTCCACTTAGGAAAGGCTCAAACGGAGGCCCATGCCATGCAGTTGGCATTTTTTTGCTTTGTAAAATTGAATCCAAAGGGTTTTTTTAGCATCTTTTTTCTTTATTCTATTTTATTTTTTCTTCTTCTTTCTTCTTACCTAATTCTTTTCCTTTTTTCTGTATCGTTATTCATTGGCTGATCAACCTCTACACACTAAGTATCTAGATAGGTCCAAGTGAGCAGGATCCAAACATCTGAATACGATTAGGATCAGAATATTCCTCTATTTCCACTGAGTCTGATGTACAAAAGGTGAAAACGGAATGAAAGAGAGACTGCAGGTCACCTCCCTCTGCTCACCTCTGAACGCTCAGATTGAACTTGAAGAATTAGGAAGAACTGTACCATCCATCAGATGACTAGAGGGTCACAAGAAATATGGGAAAGCAAGAAAATACCTCTCTTCGAAGGGAAAAGAACAACTCATCTTCATCCTCGGACAGTACAATGAAACTCATGGACATGTCAGATAAAGAATTTAGAATATTCATAGTAACAAAGCTAACAGAGATGGAAGAGAAGAGAGACAGTGAACTGCAGAAGGGCAGGAGAAAGGAGCTAATGAGTTCCAGGAGGTGAGGAAATTCTTGCAAGATCTAAAAGAGGAAATACACACTATAAAAAAAGAATCAAATGGACCTGTTAGAGATGAAGGCTATAATACAGGAAGTCAAAACCTCCCTTGAAAAAATTAAAAGCAGACTAGATCATACAAAAAAATCAAATCTCAAATGTAGAAGATGGAATTGCTGGCTTAGAAAACTCTACCATGAAGACTGAGAAAATTGCCCAAAAAAATGAGAATAATATGTGAGAAATACTAGATACCATCAAACATTCAAACATCCAGATAATTGTTTTCCCAGAAGGTGAACAAACTCATAAGGGCATTGGTAATCTATTCCATGAAATCCTGCAAGAAAACTTTCCAAACCTAGAGAGGCATTCAAAGATCCAGTCCCAAGAAATACAAAGGACCCCAAATAGAATTAAACCAAGATCTTCTCCAAGACACATTATAGCCAGATTGACCAAAACCACAGATAAAGATAAGATACTAAGACTGGCAAGAGAGAAACAGCAAGTTACCTACAAAGGATATTTCATCAGGCCAACAGCAGGACCCCTCATCAGAAACAATGCAAGCAAGGAAAAAATGGGAAAATATATTCAAAGTGTTAAGGGAAAAGCAACTTCAACCAAGAACACTGTACCCGGCAAGATTCTTCTTCAAATGGGAAGAAAAGACAAGAACATTCTCAGATACACAAAACCTGAAAGAATTTACCAACACCAGACCAGTTCTCTAAGAAGTTCTGAAGGGAGTGCCATACCAGGAAAATTAAATACAGACACATAGAAATAAGAGTTTAAAACTAAGAAAATGGCCAACTTAATCATCGGGACAAGTCTGGAGTTGAATATTATATCCCAGAATTTAATTGGGAAGATTGAACCACAACAGAAGATAGATTAAGTACATGAGACTGAGCTGGTGACATAGAATTTCATGACTTTTGCCTAAAACATTGCTGATTTTCTTCTAGGCTTTGTTTTCTGGTTTTAAGGACTTTTGTCCGGTCTTAAGCTGCCAATAGGTTCATGTACCTACTATTTGTACAGAATCCTAACCTGTTTCCTGGATTTAAGTTTAAGCAACGTTCCTTAGCATTTATTTGATTTGTTAAAGTTCAAACTGTTATTCTTGAAATTTAAAAAAATATATTAAAAAATATCTATTTAATGACCACAGTAAGCTATATAGCATCAGCTAGGTGCTACCTTATAGTATATTCGTTCTACTCAGAGTTTCACACCTAAAGTCAGACATGTATTCACAGATAAGTATATACAGTTGAACTTGATATGGAAAGTATTTAGATTACTTAAGAAATTCTGTGAATCAATAAAATGTGGGGAGAGGAAGATTGGAAAACAACTGTAGACACCTCAGATAGTGTGGGAGGAGGGTAAGAAATGGCAGAGTGTGAGAAATAGGGGGAAAATATATACATATATGAAACTAGAAATGGAAAATTATTGATGATAACATGCATGATTAAGCCACTATGCAGTGTATTTTGGATGGGAAAATCATAATTAATTAAATTTTTTTTAAAAATTAAAAAGCAATGACAAAATAAAAAGCAATGGGAAATAAGGTGAATGTTCAGCCCGTTCTTCAGAGCATCCTATGACTGCTGGGGGCAGGTAGGGGTCAGCACGAGGAGGTGCAGGCTCTCCTCGCCCTCCTAACTACGGGGAACCCCACGTGGCCCCCAGAGGTGGGTGTAGTGGCCCCATGTGCAGATATGGAAATGCTATGTGCAGTTATGATAATTCTTTCACAGAAACAAAGAAATGAAGCTCACTAGTATCACCAAGAGGCTATCATCTGAGCCTGCTCTGTTCAAAATTTGGGTTCTAAAAAATACAGTGTCTGTCATACTTTCGGCTCGCACTTATCTAGGACTTTAGCGTTTGTCATTTTTTATCTTAATTTAGGGATAAAGAAATTGAGTTTTAGGAAGATCAAGAGCCTTGTTCAGGTTGGCATACTTTGTTTCTAGGAGACAGAGGTGAGAGAGAGAGAGTGTGACAGAAAACAAAACAAGTCCTGTTACCTGGCAGTTCCTGGGATATCTCGCAAGCTCTAGAGACGGTCTCAGAACAGCCCTCCCTCCTCTCCTAGGCAGCCTCTTCGTTGGTTTCTAGTCTCTTCATAAAAACATAATAGCAGCGAGAGATGAAAAAACTGGTGGCAAATTCCTCGGTCTCAAGGGAGAGCAAAAGAGAGGGAGAGAGAGGAGACCGTGTCTCCCAGGGGCAGAGAAGAGCAGTGTGTGTGTTTCCTCACTAAGCCGTCCTCCTAGGGTGACCCGGAAGTCTGAGAGACAGCCAGAGGAAAGACTGGTTTTAAATGCTCTATTTTCTTTCTCTGCCACGTCTTTTGTGCAAAACAAGTTTCCCGGTAGGGAAGGCATCTGATCCCTCTTTGGTGTGAGGCAAAGTGATAAGCATTTAAAGCACTGGCCCTGCCAGGAGCCTCCATGCTGTGTGAGGCAGAAGGTGGAGTTTTCTGGTGAACGGGACAGTTCGATCCATTACTCGTACATTACAGATTAATTTCCAAATGAATCTATAAATAGTTCTCTCTTTCATTCTATCTTTCTCTCTCTCTCTCTCTGCCTCTCTGGTGAGCACACATGCCCATTGGCTTTAAAAGAAATAAAGAAACTCTAAATGGAAAGTGAGACACAGGTAACTCTTGGCTCTTTGTTTAGTTGGGAGAGCAGGACAGTTATAATGCAGGTACACATACAATCACATTTCGTAATGAAAGCCAGGCTTGACTTCCAAGATGTTGTCCCATAGTAATACTGAATTTTAACTCTGCAAGTAATAACAGTGGCCACACGGAATGGGGTGGAAAGGAGAGAAAGACAGGCTTGTATTTTTTTCTTTTATTGCCACAAGGTATGTGTGCTTGCCAGAGAGAAACAGAATGAGACAGCGGAAGAGGGAATAAATTCACCCCCAGGAGAAATGGCCATGCCATAATCCCTTCTCCTCCATTCTCCTCATGGGATGTTGGGCACACATGCACACATATTCAGAATATTTTTCAAGCCACCAGGTTAGGACTCAAACCACACAGTTGGCCATGTGGGACCCAAAGCCTTAACCATCAAGCCACCTAAAAGTCAGGCCTTTAACATGTAGGAGACATTGTTTTATTTTTGCTATGTAAAAACACCTCAGATATCTCATTTTTACCAGAAAACAAACAAGTAAACAAAACAGAAGTTTAAAGATCAACTTCCTTTGAAACAAAAATAGTTTTTAAAAGAGAAGGTTTTTTTGCTATAGGGAGTGTGCAATTGCCAGAGAGACAGAGAGACAGAAAAGCAAGAAATCACTCCCCAGGGGGAATGGCCACACCACAATCCCTTCTCCTCCATTCTCTTCTTGAGATTTTGGGCATGCACACACACGTTTCCAGCATGAGTTTTAAACTACTGGGTCCGGGACTCGAAGCATAGTGGATTATGTGGGAGTCCAGTGATGTAACCATTATGCTATCTGCTGGTCCCCCAAAATAATTATTTTTAGTAAACATTTATCAGCTCTGCACTGGCTATCCTGAATGTTTTGACGACTGAAATCAACTCACTAAGCCACCTTAGCAAATATTCTGTACATACGCAGTACACAGAAGGGGACATTGCTCAAAGGCACCAAGTCCACACGTGCCTTGTTGAGTTTCCATGGCAAGCTAAGCCTGGAGTTCACCTGTCTGAGATACACAGGCTGGGCTGCCTGGTGGCATGGTGGTTAAGGCAGCTGGATCCCACATGACAAACAGTGCAGTTCAAGTCCCAAACCCCAGTGGCTTAAGAAACACGCCAGGCATGTACGTGTGCATGCTCAAAATCTCAAGAGGAGAATGGAGGAGAAGGGATGGTGGCATGGCCGTCCTCCATGGAGGATGCTTTCTCATTTTCCTTCCCTCTCACCCTCACCACAAGCACACGCACCTTATAGCAAAATTTTAGAAACAGATACCCAGGCTCATATTCACGTGTCAGAGGGATAGAGAAGATTGAGGATCTTGCTCAGCTACTTCCTGTGCATTAGAGGAAATGAAAATGGATGATTGAAAGAAGAGCCTTGCTCTGTCTTCAGGCACTGCCTCAGCTGTTGTCTAGGAGGAGATGGAATGGCCTTCTGTCTGGGCCAGTTGAAGGCCTTTTTAGCTAACCTGTCTGTTCACACACCTAGTTGATTTTTCTTTTAAGTTACACTATTTTTCTTGTCGATTCAAGAAAGCCCCTTACGTTCTAGTTGCAAAACATCACCTACTCCATGTCCTCTCCAGCAGCGATGCTCCTCCATCCCTTTTTTCCTACATTCAGTTTTATTGCTGTTTGAACTTCTCTTCTTTTTCAGGGTTAACTGACGGAATTCTAGTGCTGGTCTTTCAAATGGCAGTTGTTCATAATTGCTGGTGAAATAACCAAGAGCATAAAGAAAGGACAAGTAATTTTTTTCTCCTACAAATAACAATGAAAAACAAAAATATTCCTGCAAGTGCCTTTGAGATATCCAGCATTCAAAAATTGTAGCTTTGTCCTGTGAAAATAATCCTTCCCCTCTAAGAATCTAGAATTAAAGTTGTTTCATTTAGTAATGTTTTTTACTGAGAGTGAATTATAAATTAACATCTGGTCATTCCTAACAGGTCTAAATTCTTACAAGATTCCTTGGACAAATCTGAAAGGAATCGCTGATATATCCCTCTTCTACCACAAACCTACAGGTAATAAGGTAAAATAAAATAAAACAGTCAATTGGAGGCTCTTCTCTCTCTTACGTGCTGGGTAAAAGGAAACCAGCAATTGTTGTCAAATGTCTTGCCAATACCACCCCCTGCTGTTTGTCTCTTAAATTTGTTTGGGTAAGATTTTTGCCCAGTCTACAAATTTCAACAGGCTTTCTTGATGGTGTCCATTGTTAAAAAAAAAAAAAAAAGACCCTCTCTTGTCATTCCATTCTTTTCACACTCCAAATGTGGACATTTCTTATGTACACACACACACACACACACACACACACACACACACAAAACTGCACATAAATGTTTTCAAGAATGAATTATTTGATTTTATTTATTCATTCACTTATTTTTTTATTTTACTAGAGAGAGAGAAAGGGAAAGTGAGAAAACAAGTCACCAGGTCTGGGACTCAAACCATGGTCAGCCAAGAAGGAGTGTCCAGCGCCTTAACCACTACACCACCCGTTGGTCCCCTGCATGTGAATTTAATAGCAGCTTTACCCACAATGGCCAAAACTTGGAAGCAATCAAGATGTCTTTCAACAGACGAATGGAAAAATAAATAGTATCCAGACAATGGAATCTTCTTCAATGCCATATAGAAATGAGCCAACAAGTCAAGGAAAGTCACATAGAAAATAGAAAAGCCTTCATATAGAAATGAGTCAACACGCCAAGGAAAGTCACATAGAAAATAGAAAAGCCTGTTGCTAAGTAAAAGCAGTCGGTCTGAAAGGCTACCCGTATCGTGTAGTTTCAACCACGTGACATTCTGGAAAAGGCAAAATACTAGATAGACAGTAAAATGATCTGTGACTGCGGAGGAGGAGGGAGAGTTGAAGAGGTGACATGTGGGAGACTTTGGGGGCAGTGAAACTAATCCATAAAATGCTGCAATGGTAGATTCATGTCACTCAACATTGGTCAAAACCGAACCTCATAGATTGAACAACAGCAAGGCTGGACCCTGATGTGAACCGTGGACTTCAGTTAGCAAGTGTGTGTCTCCAGTGGCTCAGTGGTTACAACCACGTACCACCCTAACGCGAGGGGCTACACTAGGGGAGATTGGAGCAGCAGGGGTGAGGAGCTCATGGGAATTCAGTACCTTCCGTTCCATTTTTATATACCTCCGATTGCTTTTAGAAATCAAACCTATTAATTTGGAAAAAGGGAGGGTGAAAGGAGGTGAGACAGGGAAAGAAGGAATGAAAGGGGGTGGGATATGGAGAGAGGTGATAAGAGGGGAGAGGGCAGGAGAAAAGAAAGGAGATAGGGAGGAGAGAAAGTAGGAGAGAAAGAACATGGGTCCTTGCACACAGCAATCCCTGACCTGGTCAGAATTAGCAATGAGGGGAAGGGACAGCCAAGATAACAAGGCGTGTTGGGCTGGAGAATGTGGGATGGGAATGTTGATGGCTACCTTGGCATCACCAGCCCAGGCCCCTGCAGCCCCAAGCTCCTGCAACTGCTGGACTTGCTACATCCTGTAAACACCGTGCCCCAGGCCCCTGTAACTGGAGCTTTGCAAGCTTCAAGAGAATTGAGCAAACAAAGGGATGGACTCTCGTTGAAGGAGACCCGGCTAAATCGAAGGGCATAGCCCCTGGGCCCATCCTGCCAGAGAGTTCTGGCCTGTATCCCTCATTAGCAGACGTAGAGATGGAAATTAGCCCACCACCTTATGCCGCTGCGGAGGCACCACAGGCGGAGGCTGGAGCTGAACCAACCTCACCCACAGCCTCAGTAGATGCCTAATTCTTCTACGAGGCCATCTGCTCCCTCCTTGCCAATACAGGGACCCGCGGGGGGCTCTAACCGAGACAGCCACAGGGCACAGAAGAACCCTCAACCTCGGGGCGGGCACCAATCCTCCCCATGCGTGCCATGGGTGGCCCCAACCTGCAGGGTGAATATACCTACCAGTACTGGCCTTTTCTAGTAGTGATCTATATAATTGGAAAAAACAAAATCTGCCTTTTTCCGAAGACCCCTGGGGCCTCACTGATCTCTTCGAGCCTATCCTATTCATCCATAGTCCCACCTGGGACGACTGTCAACAGCTCCTGAAGATCCTATTCACCACTGAAGAGTGAGAACAGATCCTCACCAAGGGCGGGTACGAATCCTCACCGAGACCCGGAAGAATGTGCCCCGCGAGAATGGCATGCCCACTACACTGCAGAACCTGATCGATGAGGGGTTCCCACTCAACACACCGACTGGGATTTCGGGACTGCAAAAGGTGGGGAGCCTCCGAGTCTCTCACCAGGCTCTCATGGCAGGGGATGAGGGAGGCCCCAGCAGGGGACCAACGACCTTTTCCACATGGTTCCATTTGCACAACCACCGCATCACCACCTGGCCTCTGTGCCTACAGTTTTTTAAGTGTCTTTAGTCAAAATGATTCTTATGCCGAAGTGGCACATTTTAGGGGGTTATGTTCTGAACTCCTTCAAACACATAAGGCAGCCTGAAAGAAGTTCCAGTAATGCAACTTCCTTTTTATAGAAGTATCCCAGCTAGTGAACCCAGAAGGGATGATAAAATTAGACTGTCATCATT